AAAAAAATAAATAAATAAATAAAAACTAGTAAGTCTAAGTCATGACCGTAAGCATCTCTTAAGCTAGCTCATTTTGCCAGAACCTATGTTTCAAGGGAGAGATGCACACAGAGGAAGCAGGAGATTCCCACCAGGCAGTCAGATCTTCCACATCAACCTCATTTATCAACAGGATGACAGAGATCACTTCAAGGTAACCTGAACATCCTCAAATTGAGTTTTAAAAACCAAAGTTAATGTCTGAAGTGGTCAGAAAATAATCATTCCTTGGGTAGCAGATATTCATTAGTTTCCATTGTCATTGGTTCTTAATTATTAAATTGTAATAATCTCAGGTTTCCCAAGATCTCTTATCGAGTAATGCTACACACAGCTTTCTAATCCGATGATAGTAGAATTATTGATGATACTAGATTCTGTTATGTTTCTCTCACAAAATATTTATTTTCAGGAGTATACAAACATATCTCTCTAGTTAGACCATTATTTTCTCAATATTGATTGACATCCCTAACAGGAGGAAGGTCAGAGGTAAATTTGTGGAAGTCACCAAATTTGGAAATGCTGAACTCTGAATATATGTGATCTTGTCATTTTGAGCCCCTCCCTTCCCCCTTTGCCAGCCTTCAAATGTTGCCATGGGCCTGAACAAATGAATAGTTAGTGGTGTTAGGGAGGAAAGGTAAAGAACAGGAATTGTAGTCCTGAAATAGAGTAAAGGTTTAGAAACTATGGCTTCTGGCAAATTTGATATATATTTTTCATTCCTGGAAAATAGTTTAACTGATGAGGCTGTAGTTAAAAGAAGTGAAATGTACTATGGATTTCCCTTCCCTAAGGTAGGAGCCGCCTTTTTTTTTTTTACAATTTTTTGTTTTGTTTTGTTTTGTTTGTTTTTTTTGTTTTTCTCCGGTATGGGGAACCAAACTCACGACTTTGCACTTGCCAGGCAGGCGCTTTTGCCGCTGAGCTAAATCCCCAGCCCCAGGAGCTGCTTTTCCTGGCAGCCTCAAGAGGGATGCTTCCTCTTATAACACTATCAGTACAAAGCTCACAATGTCATGATAAGTCTTAACTGGGATCACATCCCTAAAGTTAGGAAAAGTCATCTTGGGTACAGGTTTGACAGAATGGATTTGAACAAGTACTGAGGTGAAGTTTTAATCTCCTTACAAGACCTTGATGGAAGGGAAAATACAAGTAAAAAGAGGCCTTTGGCTGGGATCCCCAAGATGGAAGGAAGCATATGGACTCATTTCTGTGCGGGAGGAACCCTCGTTCAGAGGACATGAGAGAGCTCCGGTTGCTGTTGTAATACTCTCGTTGCTTGCTCTAGTAGGACTGAAAGGAAGTGATACTAAATGAAATGCTATAGAAACCAATTATCATTTGTCCAAAGACGATAAATTTCAAAAGATAATGGGAAGGTTGTTTTCAGTATATACACGAAGAAGAGACCCACTTCTTTCCTTCATTTTACTTCTCTGAGACAATCAGACTTTCCGCATGCCGCGCCCTCCTAAGTGGAAGAAAAAGGCATGAACTTCTAAACTCAGCTCACTAGATGGAAGCTAAGAGTAGTCTTCTACAGACAGCGTGTAGGATAAGGTAAGAAGGGCGGCTTCCAGGAGGATGCCCTGGGTAAGGGAAAGTAGGACTGTATCCTAGGAGACGGTGGATGAGTGAGAAGCTTTATTTTTCCGTCCTTTCCTTTGCTTCTGTGTTCCTCTTAGTCTTCCCCTCCCTAACTCTTCCAATCACCTTACGCCCACATTTCGTTTTCAGCATAGCTGAGCAAGCATTGCTGTGCTAGCGCCCAACTCTTGAAGCTGAAGATACTTGCATAGTCTTTACCTCTGCAGGGGAAACAATAGCGAGACTGTGTCCCTGCCCCATTACACCACGCTCTTGGGGCATTGTGCAGTGTTATGTTTGCAGCCATCTGTGTCATGTGCTGTTGGCCAATGAATCACATTCAGGACTGTCTGGAAGATACGGGGGCATGATTAGATGTCAGTGTCTCTCTAGATACGGATTTCTGTGCTTCCAGCTTCTTTTGAAGTTCCGAGGAACCAAGGAAGTACAAGATAAGAATACCATATTTTTTCCTCCCTTTTTTGGGGTAATCTTTTAAGAAAACCTAACCTGCCTCTTCCTAATGAAATTCAGTGCGAAGGGAAGAAAAGGTAGCAATTAGAATTAAGTGATCATTAAGCTGTTATTTATAGGTACTCGGAAGCCTTGTCATAGTACAGAGCTGCTAGGATGATTGCTTCTCCTTTCATTCGTCAGTCAAGAACGATGAAAAGTTTATAACATATCCCTCTTAGACTCTCTGAATTTGTGTGACAAGTTAAAATGTAAACAGCCTGCTCAATACCTTTAAACAAATATTTATCTTGATATTCTTAAGCATTATTCCTTTCCTGTTTATTACTTCTCTGTGATAATAATTAAATTATTTGTAGTTGCTCTGTACTTGTACTCCACTGAGTTTTTATAAAAGTCAAGTAGCAGATACTTGAAAATTTTCATTAAAAATCAAGATGAGAATTCTAGGTAGTCTAAAAAATGGTAGAAGAGTAATATAAATAGCTTTACAGGGGGCTGGGGATTTAGCTCAGCGGCAAAAGCACCTGCCTGGCAAGCGCAAGGTCATGAGTTCGGTTCCCGGTACCGGAGAAAAACCAAAAAAAATAGCTTTACAGCATCTGACAGGCACATCAAAGCGGGGAAAATGGAGACTAATTAAGTTCTTCATAACCTGCTGTTGTTACAAGGCCTTCACATGATCAGTACTTCAAGTCATGGCCTCAAAATTTTTTCCTCCCTCTCAGCAGCCTGAGAGATGGGATGTGACTTGCTAGCCGGATGGAGACTTTAGCCAGGGGTCTTGTAGACAATACTCTGTTAACATTTCTAGAAAGTTTTAAAGAGAGGTGTACATACCCTTAAGAAGTGGAACACGGAGAATTACATATTATCATTTTTTTTCTTTCAGCTTGAGAACAAAACTGTGAAGTAGAGCTAATAGGATTATTTCCACTTTTATGAGCTAATGGTATTAACGTAGGAATCCCCAATGTGCTTGTCTGCACAGAAGTTAAAAGGCTAAAAAGGAGTCGCTGTAGTACAGGGAGAGGAAAGGAGGCAGCCTTTGAAGTTGGATTAGATTTGAATCTGTAACTTATTACTTACATGAACTACTGGTAGTTGTGATTAAGATAAGCCACTTTCATTCTGAGCCTTACCCGTAAAAATGCTGAGGCAGAAAGATCACAAGTTCAAGCCCAGCATGGACAATTTGGTGACTCGGTCTCAAAATAAAAAATTTAGAAAGAGTTGAAGATGTGCTTCAGTGCGAAGCCCCTGAGAATCCTCATTATTGCAAAAATAAAACAACAAAAACAAAACAAAACAGCCTAAGGGCTTCTGTGTCATAGGAACTTAAAACAAAGATCTTTTTGGACTGGAATGATCAAAAAAGGCTTCATGGAAGACAGAGGGAAAGATGGGAAATATCGACTGCATGGGGGTCTAATATATATGATATTTTTATTCTAAACAAATGTTTTTCAAAGACTATATAAGATAGAAAATTGATTCTGGGGGGGTCTTCAAGCTAGTTATTTTCAATTTCAGTAATTTAAAATTCAACAAATAATAAAATAGCCGTATTTTATTTGAGTTCTCTGTGTACTGCATACAAAACCTTCTCTCTACATTTAAAAAGAAGTTATTTTAAATTATTCTTAACTATCTAAAATCACACAAGCCTCAGAAAAAAATATTGTGTGTTCCAGAATGGAGTAGTCCCACATAAACTCACTAGCTATGGTACGGCCTCTAGGTATCTAGAGTGAAGAGAACAAAATAAAATTGCATATACGCAAAATAGAGTAGCCTGCAGTCCAGAAAATTTCAATGCTAATTCAAGAACTAGGAAGAATTATTCATACACATTTTTAATCATTTGGATAGAGAATTGGTCATCATTCTTTAAATGTATATACATGTCTGCTCGTATGTCTGTATTTATGTGCATTTTTATGTTTTCCTGGAAGGGGTGTTTGTACTCAGGCACCTTGCTACTGTATTATCATGGAATACTGCGCTCACGGGCAACTTTATGAAGTCTTGCGGGCTGGCAGGAAGATCACACCTCGATTGCTAGTAGACTGGTCCACGGGAATTGCAAGCGGAATGAATTATTTACATCTCCATAAAATTATTCATCGTGACCTCAAGTCACCTAAGTGAGTTCATCTATTTTGTTGTGTTGTTTGAAATAAGAATTCTTATTGACCATAGTTGAAGTTTCCAGACATCATATATATAGTTCAGTTTAAGTCAGCACTGTGGGAAATCTACATGAGTATTTTTTGGATTATCATTGAGCTAGTTTGAATTATTGTTGACAGTGGTTTCCTGTTCTGTTGTTTTTCATTGTACAACTGTGCAACAAAATTCATTATTATCTGAAATGCTCGCCTGTTATCCTCACAGATAATGAATGCCATGCTTCTCCCCAGGAAGTCTTGGTTTGTTTTTCTACTGTGTTCCCCCCAAAATTTTTTAAACTGAGTTTCTGAAATGTATATAATAGGATAAAAATGGATGAATAAGAAATATAGACAAAGAGAAAATAAAAACATTAGAACCAAGAACTGTTCACAAAATATATCCCATAACATTCTACGCGGTCATTTGAGGTGGGCTACAAATTGGGTGTTGAGCTTCTGAGCATCTAAGCAAAAGAAAAAATAAATGGTTATCGTTACAACAACCATAAGAAAAATAGTTAAAGAGAAGCAGAGCTGTTTTAGAATCTATATCTTCAGAATGATTCCTTGGTCACCAGTAACCACTTTAAGAGAAGTGTTTATTCGGTTCCCCAAATTGCATGAATGCAAAAAAGGAATTGATAAGATGGTATATTTCCATGTAGCTCCTCTTTTTAAGCATTACTGTTATTATTTCTGGCTTATAGAAAGACTCATCTCTTCTCAAAAACATACTTGCAAAATGTTTCCATGATTTACAACATTTTTAACTATCCGTGATCACATCTTCTTTAACTCTGGCAGAAACTATATGGGAAAAATGAGACAATGTCATTTTTCTTATTTTACACAAAAGAAACTGGGCCTCAGCCCAAAGTCGTGGGACTAGACCTTGAACCAGAACTTTTATGGGTTTTTTGTTTGTTTGTTTGTTTGTTTGTTTGTTTTTCCGGTACCGGGAATTGAACTCACGACCTTACACTTCCCAGGCAAGTGTTGTGCCACTGAGCTAAATCTCCAGCCCCAAATATACAACTGGTTTGTTTGGGGTTTTTTCGGTACCAGCAGTCGAACTCAGGACCTTGCACTTGCCAGGCAGGCACTTGTGTCACTGAGCTAAATCCCCGGCCCTGAACCAGAACTTTTGAACCAGTGGCGCCTACATCCCATCTCATCCTGCACAGAGAAAGGGTTCACAATGAATCCTGCCTCTTCTGCTTGGAAGACAAAAATCTGTCCTTGAATATAAACTCAAAAGTGGCTCTAATTTATCACCATCATTCTCAACAATGTTTATTACAGCGGTTAGCTCACTGCATCACCTCCTTGCTGTACGTGCAAATAAACATTAAAATATAGCGTTCGTTCCTTCTGTTGACATTTTTTACACAATTTGCTGCTTTGGCCGTCCCCTACACACACATGAAGTGTTTGCCAAAGGCATCTTTAATGATCTCCTTCTTTAACCAGCATGTTCTTGTGGAGAATTAATTTCACAGAGGGGTCAGGAAATCTTAGGATATGCACAGTCAGGAGCATATAACAAGCTGGAGTGCAGTCGGGAGTGCTCTCCTTTACTTCTGTCATTTACAGGTCAGAGGAGTAGGTTGGTCCTCTAGGGAGTCTTCCTTATCAATAATACAGTTGCCACCCCGGGTGGTCTGAGCCTCTGGATTTCAAGTGAACTTTAAGAAAACAAATATTAAAGCTGGGCGTGGTGGTGCACGCCTGTAATCCCAGCACTCGGGAGGCTGAGGCAGGAGGATCGCTGCGAGTTCGAGGCCAGTCTGGGCTACAGAGTGAGTTCAAGACCTGCCTGAACAACATAGTGAGACCCTGTGTCCACAAAAAGAAAAAAAGAGAAATATTAACCCAGCTCTCTGTAACAAGAGATTTCATTACCTACATTAAATCTAGAGTCTGTACAACCCTAACTTTGTTCAGGATTCCAGAAAAGTCCCAACACTGCAGCAACTCTAACCTTCCCAATCCATTCCCTCTGTGCCAGCTGAGGCAGAAGTAGACTTTCCTACAGTGATTGTCTTTCTAGGGGCTTATCATGTTTCTCTACCTTCCCTGGTACATGGTAGTAATAATTTCCCAGTTATCTCAGATATCCCATAACATTTTAATCACCATGCATTTTCACCAGCACTAATACTATAAAACCAAAACTCCCAAATTATGTAAATTTTACATATCAGGTACAAAACCAGAGAGAGGCTGTGGCTGAAGGTATTCTAAGCAGTTGTTAGCAGGGCGCTTTTCAGTTAATAAGCATTTGGCATGATGGGTGTGAGCAAGGTAAAAAGAGAAGGAAGGAGATAGACTGAAAATTTTTCTGCTTCCTAGCCTCATCAAGTTAGATACTGTCAACTATAAAGTCTCTTATTGTTAAAGAAAATAGGTTCCTATATCTAAATTAGGGTTCTTCCCAGCTCCTTTACATTCTAAAGTTCTGAACATGTTTTTTTTTTTTTCAAGTGAATTCAGTCTGCTGTGGAAAGCTGCCAGGGGTTTCGATTTATATTCATCTTTAAGGCTAACAAGAACAGTTTGGTCCAGGATGCATTTCAGATAACTCCTGTGAAAAAATAAAACATCACTTTTGTGGAACTACTTAAGCTTAGATTTATTTCTGCATTCCCTTATCAGCACTAGTGAAATCCCAGCGTCCACATTAGTCTCTTAATGAATGGGTCCCTAGTGTTATCATCTCATTCATATTACTTGGCATCATTTAAATAATGTTTAGGAAGAAACATTTTCTCTAGTGGATTAACTGAGATTGGTAAGGATGGAAACCAGTACATGTTGAGTACTGGTGCTTTATGTATCTCAGCTCATTTAATTCAAATAAAACTTTGAAGAGATCCTATATAACCCACATAGGACTATACAGGCCCATAGACCTTTTATCCAAAATTCATAGAGCCAGATGATTTCAGAAAGACAGCACTGCATTCCTGTAGACATTCAGCAAAATTGAGCAGCCCCCTGTCGTCAACCAAGTTAATACCTCTGGTGAAACCTCTGAGTTGACACAAAATGGGATAAAGTGAGTTTGCCTTAGAAATGTGAACAAATACTTATAATTACTTTGAGAACTTTCAGCAGTTCTGAATTGTGGCTAAGATACTGTCATCTGAATTACTTCCACTGTGCAGATGAGAACACCGGCTTGGGAGAATCGAGTCACTTGGTAAAGGTCATACGGTTAGCAGGAGCAGAGGCAGGATAGGACCGGGTGCTGAAAGCCTCCTCACTAGGTTGCCTCAGTCTGAAGCAGCTGTATCTGGTGTATAGCTCATGCCCGGTAATGCTGCAAACTGCAAGCTGAATTCCACAAAGTACAAGGCAGTAAACAAACATCTTCAGTCGCCATTCAGAGTTGTGATTCTCGTTAGTACTAATAATCTGGATGTTTTCTTTACCTCTTTTTTAAAGTGTTTTAGTGACTCACACGGATGCAGTGAAAATTTCAGATTTTGGGACATCTAAGGAACTCAGTGATAAGAGCACCAAGATGTCCTTTGCTGGCACAGTTGCATGGATGGCCCCAGAGGTGATACGGAATGAGCCCGTTTCGGAAAAGGTTGACATATGGTAAGCGGCACTGTTCGTGGCATCTAGGGAGCCTTCTCCCACTCCCGCTCCATTGGGATTTGCTTCCTTCTACACTTACCAAAACAGTCTCTTCTTTTCTGCACTACTGAGATTGAACCCAGAGACTTTGCACTAAGATATATCTCTAGCCCTGTTTATTTCC